TAGTACATATCTGCTGTACGCAGCGGATATACGGTACAGCAGATACCTATAGTAAACGGTGTTCTACAGACGTATATCCTATAGTGAACGGTGTTCACTAGACGTATATCCTATGGCGAACGGTGTTCCCAGACGTATATCCTATGGCGAACGGTGTTCCCAGAGGTATATCCTATAGCGAACGGTGTTCCCAGAGTATATCCTATAGCGAACGGTGTTCCCAGACGTATATCCTATAGTGAACGGTGTTCCCAGACGTATATCCTATAGCGAACGGTGTTCCCAGACGTATATCCTATAGCGAACGGTGTTCACAGACGTATATCCTATAGTGAACGGTGTTCCCAGACGTATATCCTATAGTGAACGGTGTTCCCAGAAGTATATCCTATAGTGAACGGTGTTCCCAGAAGTATATCCTATAGTGAACGGTGTTCACAGACGTATATCCTATAGTGAACGGTGTTCCCAGATGTATATCCTATAGTGAACGTGTCACGTTATGAAGTTTACTTTTATCTGACAAAATTCCAATTCATGGCAGAATTGAAAACAGGTTAACATAGAAGTTTCAGACTCATAAAATAATACTAACTGATATTGAGCCGGGCATATCGTAGCAGCTAACGTTGCGGACGTAGGTTCCAGGTCGCCTAACAATGCCAGTTTCTGTACTTCTAGTTGTGGGTGTCTTATAAATGACCCAAATAAAGTCCTTGTGCTAGCGCGTGACTACTGGGGTTATGGACGACTATATCTGAACACTAGGGGTTTCTTGACCTGGCCGTTTAACAAGAAGAATAGGGGGGGGGAGAAACAACGGATAATGTTCGTGGACTTGAGTGTTTTCCTAGTTCAATAAAACTTTAGTTAATTAACAGAGATAATGTTCCTAGACTTGAGTGTTTTCCTATCTAGGAACATTATCTCTGTTAATTAATTAAAGTTTTATTGAACACCATGACGACAATGTGGAAGTTTTCTAAACCTAAAACATCTCTTTCTTTTCTACCTGCCTACATATTAAAACATCTTTAGCATTCTAGGGTTAGTTCGAACTGCTTTCTGTTAATTAATTAAAGTTTTATTGAACTAGGAAAACACTCAAGTCTAGGAACATTATCTCTGTTAATTAATTAAAGTTTTATTGAACTAGGAAAACACTCAAGAACCTTCTCGTTTAGCAAATTATATATTAATTAAAAAAACAGGTACATAAAGTAGAAACCTGCTCACTTAGTTAGTATATATATATATCCGTGTGTGTATCTGTGTTTGCAGTAAAATACGGTATGTCAATATACGGTGTTGAAATCAGAAATGAATGTTATGTTTAAACAAATTATGACTCGTAAATAAAACCTCTTAATTCTGAGTACACAAAATTTGTGCACTACCCACCACGTGTATCGAAACCCGAATTTTACCATCGTAAGCTTCCAGACTTACCGCTGAGTCACTGTTCAACTCGCAAATTAAGGTCACGTGTGTTCCGTTTCGCCACATGTCCAAAGTATCATTAGTTTCACACAAAAATTACGATACCACATTTTCCACCCACGTGCCAAGAACTAAGTTTTAGTTTTCCAGATGCACTTCAGCTACAAGATATTATCTCTTCACACTTATGTCTCTCATTCCCGTTCGTTTACACACCAGGAAACGACAAAACGTTACCCTTATCTCTCGGGGTTCCCTCTATCACTTGTTATTCTGTAAGTTCAACAACAACATAACCTTCAATTTACATATTCTTACTTTACAGCTACAACATAACCTTCAAGGCCACAAGAAGTCTATTTGAAGCTAAGGCACAATCTCGTGTAACTGTCCGACCGGGTAACGTGCCTCTTGTTCATGTGAAAAGATCTGAGGTTGGACCCGTCAGTCCTACTGAAAGGCTGGTAATCAATGGTTATATCACTAGTGATGTCTATGTGAAAGTATGGTGGGAGGGCGTAGTCGAAAAAGGTACGAAAAATTTAATATATTTTCGTCTAATAATCTTAATACAGAGCAAGATATCTGTTTATATGTTTTCAAATAGGTAAACACGTGTATGTAATTTCAAAAATGATCGTTCACTACTCCTGCCACAGACAAGTACTCTCAGGTTTAATAAAGAGATGGGTAAAATGTGTCCTAGGTGAGTAGATATCTAGGAAGTAGGAACCTCAGAGCAGTAGGGATACACTGTCTAAAACACTTAATTCTACATGTGTATGATATAAGGGGTTTTATACCAATTAGAACATTCAGTTAGCCCTGGTGGTTAGAATACTCGACCCACAATTTGCCTTTACCGAACATGCTCGCCTTTTCAACCGTAGGGTCATTATAAGGTGATGGTCAATCTCACTATCCATTGTTAAAGAGTAACTCAAGAGTTGGCGGCGGATGGTGTTGACTAGCTGCCTATGTATTTTTGATGGCAAAATCTTATTGGTGGCGCTCAATTGCTTAATGCAATCCATCTGGAGTACTGAAATACGTGTTGAACTTGTTGGATGTACCAAAGTGCTTAGCATAGTCCATCTGAGGTATCAAAATACCTGTTCAACTTGATAAATGGGCCAGATGGATTAGCATAATCCATCTGAGGTGACAAAATATTTGTTTAACTTGATAAATGGGCCAGATGGATTAGCATAATCCATCTGAGGTGACAAAATACCTGTTTAACTTGATAAATGGGCCAGATGGATTAGCATAATCCATCTGAGGTGACAAAATACCTGTTTAACTTGATAAATGGGCCAGATGGATTAGCATAATCCATCTGAGGTGACAAAATACCTGTTTAACTTGATAAATGGGCCAGAGAGATTAGCATAATCCATCTGAGGTGTCAAAATACCTGTTTAACTTGATAAATGGGCCAGATATATTAGCATAATCCGTTTGAAGTGTCAAAATGCCTGTTTAACTTGATAAATGGGCCAGATAGATTAGCATAATCCATCTGATGTGACAAAATACCTGTTTAACTTGATAAATGGGCCAGATGGATTAGCATAATCCGTTTGAAGTGTCAAAATACCTGTTTAACTTGATAAATGGGCCAGATGGATTAGCATAATCCGTTTGAAGTGTCAAAATGTCTGTTTAACTTGATAAATGGGCCATATAGATTAGCATAATCCATCTGAGGTGACAAAATACATGTTTAGCTTGATAAATGGGCCAGAGAGATTAGCATAATACGTTTAAAGTGTCAAAATGTCTGTTTAACTTGATAAATGGGCCAGATAGATTAGCATAATCCGTTTGAAGTGTCAAAATGCCTGTTTAACTTGATAAATGGGCCAGATAGATTAGCATAATCCGTTTGAAGTGTCAAAATGCCTGTTTAACGTATTAGATGTGCCAAAATTACGTGTTCATTTATTTTTGCGAAGAGATAAAGAATGGCACAAATAATAACAAAACGAAAATTCAAACACGTCTCTTATTTTCTCTCAGAGTTCGCCACAACTTCTCTTGACGGACTAACGCCTTCTTTCGAATCAAGAAATTACTCTAACCCTGTGGTCAAACGTCCATTTCCTTTGTTGATCCCAGCTGCTAATGCTGAATGGCCTGGACTTATGGGTGGCACTCGTTATAAGTTTGCTTTAATAGCAGAACCAATGAATGGGGGAGAACGTGGTCGTGCCGAAATAATTGTAGAAACAGACCAACCTCCAACTGGAGGGAGTTTTCAGGTATTGTTCTTAAAATGTGTCTGTAACAACTGCAATATATATGTTTATTATAAAATATTAGTAGGCTTAAGTATGTGTGACTCACTTTTAAAGTTACGTATATATAAAGTGCTTGTAGGCCTAAGTATGTCCAAAAATACTTGTAGACCTACATATATATTTATAAGTGTTTGTAGGATTTCGTATATATAGTTTTTTGTTGGCCTACGTAGTTATAAAGTGCTTGTAGGCCTACGTACATAATGCCTAAAATACTGTAGGTCTTCGTATGTCCAAAAATACTTGACACCTACATATATATTTATAAGTGTTTGTAGATTTCGTATATATAGTTTTTGTTGGCCTACGTAGTTATAAAGTGCTTGTAGGCCTACGTACATAATGCCTAAAATACTGTAGACCTTCGTATGTCCAAAAATACTTGTACACCTACATATATATATATATATATTTCAACATGGTATTCTTATGTAAAGAACGCATGTTTTGTAATTTAAATATTATTATAAGTAATAAACTTAACGACTGCCATACATGATCTATGTTACGAGCTCATAAATTAAGAATTTTTATTTTAATATTAAATAATTCAAATAAGTTTTATTATAATATGCACAGGTAGAGCCACCATCTGGAGTTGCATTACAAACGCCTTTCACTATGAACGCCACGAAAGGATGGAAAGACAATCCTCAAGACTACCCCCTGAAATACACTATTTCATATCAAATAAATGATGAAGATCCAGGAACTCCAGTAAAAATATTTACTGGAATACCACCTTTTATTGAAAATGTTATTCTGCCAGGAGGTATAAATATATTTAATTCGTAATTTGTATAACTGAAGGAAAACATATAAATAAAATGTCAATTCTTTCAACTCACTATTTACTAACCTAAATTAATATAGGTATATGAATAATAACGCCTCTACGTCCCAAATTATATTTTTAATTTTATCTTTCGTGAAAAGAAATCTGTAACATAGCAAGAAGTTAAGAATTAAAATCCTACACGTTTCGAGCGGCCCAGCCGATGTAGAATCTTAAACAATCTTTTATTGGGGCGAATCCCTTGTTTTATATATTCAAAAGTCCGTGAATAGTGAATATTGGGGAGTAGTAAACGTACGGGTTTTGGCCTAGCATCTGGACATGAAATATAAAACGAAATGTCCCCCTGTAGGACAGCGGTAAGTTTTCGGACTTACAACGCTAAAATCTATTCCCCGCGGTGGACACAGAAGATAGATCAATGTGGCTTTGCTCTAAAACAAATAAAGAAATTTTACGTAATAGAAATAAGCTTGAATTTAATGTTTACTGTTCATTCATTGTGACTTTAGTTACGTTAATTATAATAATCGTGAATTAAAATTGTAAACATTTTACACGATGTAAATTTAACATTAACGTAATAAATATATATATTTTCACTGAGAGGAAACATTTTATTAACTTAGTACAAACCATTGTTTCATGTGAAATAGTGCTGCCATCTTTAATGACATTTCTTATCTAACCGATTTGAATTTATGTGAGTATAATATTGTTATACCGCAGTAATCTATGATCTTCAAAATCGGTCAAACATTACTTTCAGATCCTCATCTCACATCCAGTGTCACGGCTGTTGTAACAGTGTGTGGCGGCGTATCCTGCTCGAGTATTAACCAAACAGTAACCGTTAACCCTGCTGCATCAATGTCCCCAGAAGAGTTTGAAAAACTAAAGACGAACATTTTTACAATGTTCAATGAAGGTATATCGATTTGTCTATAAGAAAAAATTGAAGATTGAATTTAAAAGGTGCAATAAGTCTTTAAGTGACTTTCTCATGTTTACGGATATGATTCATAACGAAACGTGTTCTCGTTTATTCAATAAATAAACAAATTAAAGAAATTTCAACGAAACATTTTCATCTCAAAAATATGTTGTTTTACAATAAATGGTCTCAAAATGTTTTATTTATAAGCTCAAAATGGTGGTTAGGGCGCTCGACTCGCTATCTGTGGGTCGCGGGTTCGAATTCCTGTCACACGAAACATGCTCGCCCTTTCAGCTGTGGGGGCGTTACAATGTTACGATCAATTCTATTATTCGTTGGTTAAAGGGTAGCCCAAGAGTTGGCGGTGGGTGGTGATGACTAGCTGCCTTCCCTCTAGTCTTTCACTTCTAAATTAGGGACGGCTAGCGCAGATAGCCCTCGTGTAGCTTTGAGCGAAATTCCAAAACAAACATATGTCACTACACACGCTTCGTATGCAGGAAGTACAAACATATGTCACTACACACGCTTCGTATGCAGGAAGTATAAACATATGTCACTACACACGCTTCGTATGCAGGAAGTACAAACATATGTCACTACACACGCTTCGTATGCAGGAAGTACAAACATATGTCACTACACACGCTTCGTATGCAGGAAGTACAAACATATGTCACTACACACGCTTCGATGCAGGAATACAAACATATGTCACTACACACGCTTCGATGCAGG